GAGGAGGCCTGATGTTTGTGGCACCATCACTGTGGCAAATGAGTCCCATGTGTTTGATGCAGGGGAGCAGTCACGCAGTATAGCCATGAAGGCATTCCTCCAGGAGGCCATCTTTAACTGTGGGAGGGGCAAGTTACAGGAGCTTGAACATCTCTCTCTTTGTTTCTCTGTTACTCTATTTTGCTTTTACAGATCCGACTCCTTTTCAGAGTCAGATCTGTAGGCAAACAACAGATTCCAGAAGATTCTAGTGATAAGCAGTTGGAGGAACGTGGGATGGGACACACTTCTATGAGGGTTGCCCTTGTTTTGGTTTTTTTGGGACTGTGTTGAATAGTGACACCAGACAGAGGGGATAAGGGCTAAGATTTTATTGTTTCCAAAGCACCATGTGCCATCAAAAAGAGTCAATCTTTGTTTCAACCTAAGAACAGCCGCAACATTAACAAAATAACTGACATGGAATATGAGACAGAATTTTGAGTCTGAAAATTATTTTCATAAATAAACCAATTGTGAAGGCATGTGACCCTGAATTGACCAGTACAAACTCAAAGTGAGCTCAGAAGGTTAATCGGTTGTTCGTGTAGCATCGCTGTTGGGCTGATCAAGTACACAATGAAGATGAGTAAGATATCACTATGAGCACAATAGGGACCACTGCAAAGACAGATGGGCTTCAGTCTAGGTCGAGTTTTCCACTGAAAATCCTAAATCTTGTTTCAATGAAGAGAACAACTGTACTGTATAATTAAATAAGAAAAACAGACATGCATTATGTCTAAAACAAAAATGTTATTAGACATCTAAATAGAGCAATATGTGAAATGTGTCTGAGGCTTCTTAGTGTTTTGTAAATTTGTTTGTAGTCTAATTGGCACATTCAAAGGGCAAAACACTGTTCTTAGTAACAAAAACAAAATTGTCCCCTATAGTTCCTTCAAATTTTCTCTGAGGTCTCTGCTGATGATGTGAGACATAATGCAAAACTATTCAGTTTCAGTTCACCTTAAATTCTTGAAATTTTGAGATGCTATCTAAACACCTAATTTGACAAAACCAGTTTTATTCCATTTCTAGCCTTCATTTAACTCAATTTCTATAGCCTTTGGGTCAAGAATAGAGTAGTGTTAGCTTATGTGCCTGATTCTGCACAAAGGAGCTGGTTACTAAAATCAGTGGATGTGACCTCTTGGCAACCTCAGTGAAATCCTAACATGATGACTCTGTGTTTCCGTTTGCTTCCCATCAAAAGCACAGTGGTATCCTCAATGAGGGGAAAGCATCAGCTAACAGCTGGGCCTCAACATACTCGCAGTGAACCTGAGGTGAAACCACAACCGCATACTCATCTTTAACATTTCATCTGGGCTTTAAGGCAAAAAGCCAATGGCCACATAACAGGTTGACTTTCATTGGCTACCATGCCACCTGAGATTCATATAAATAAACACTGGGAGGTTTTTAAAATCCTACAGCTGACAATGTGCACTGGGACTGAGATGCAAGGTCGTGTCATCTGAGGCCCAAAGTACTTGAGCAGGAGATCCAGTTGTAGTGCTGGAAAGGTTTGTGGTGTCTTTCCAGCTCACTGAGATATCTGCCACAGGGTGCAAAGGTGACCCTGCTGGCCTTAACAGCCACCATCAAACAACCAGCTGTACAATCTATCCATCCTCCAAAACATTCCACCATACCATAAAGTAGTCCCTCAAGTAGAAAATAACTTTAAATAAATGCACGCAAGCAGCGAAAACACTGCCACAAAACAAAGTGAACCAAATGCCAGGAGGCATTTGTCATCCCTCATGGCCATGAGGGCTGCAATATTGAAGGGTTACATGTAAACAGTACAATTTCGGGGTTTTCTGGTTTCTACAGCTCAGCGAGGAAGTGTATGACAAAATCCAAAATGAACGGGTTTAACACCAGAGACAAATGAAAAGTATGCATTGGCCTCACCACAGTATTGTATAATGACACGCTGGTTGTGGCGTTATGCATGCTCACTTCACTGAAAGCACTGGAGAGTATCCAGGTTGTGTACAAAGTTCCAGTCTGCAACAAGGTTACTAGAGGGCAATCTTCAGCATTATTATGGCCATAGGGTAACGGTGATATGTTTTATGTCAAACCATATCTAATGTACAGCTGAACACTCTTGGCATCAACATAAACACAGTGGTTCCTTATTTTGTTGTTTGCTTTTATTGTCTGAACCGTTTTTCCAAAAAGTCCTTAAAAGCTAGGAGACATGCCAACAAACTTTGCTAACTACTTCCTTTGTTACCCGTGAGCAAAGCAACCACTTTCAGTTTTGATAGCATGGCTGAAATATAATCCTTTCAAACAGCGAGCATAACCCACTGTACAAAGACACAGTGTACAGGCCCCTTTATGGACCAGATCTTGTGTTTAGAGCCTGGTCCCTGGTACAGTGATGGCCAGTCAGACCAAGCTGTCCAAACACAACTCTGACCACTCCAAAGAGGGAGTGGGATGCATGCTAACCCCTGTTCTCAAAGGCCAGTATATGTGGCTTGATATTTTAAGGTCAATTAACAATGAGTCATAGTTACATCTCTCAAATGGCCCCTGGGTCATTGTTGGGCAGTGTCATTCACTGGTTAGTGACATTAAAAAGTAGCCATATGGAAAGAGTTGGTTCTTTTCTCAGACTTTCTGTTTTAGCAGTTGTGGGCCAGAGCAGCTGGGATGGCATAACATGCACTATTATCTTTACCACAACCTTTGCGTTCTATTGAAAGTGGCCTTTCAAAGCTAAGAGCCATAACTAAGCAACAGAAAATAGACTCTGCAATGTAAACTAAATGAAAACCTGCTTTGTTTGCCTTTTAAATCAGGATTTTATCAAATATTCTCAAAAGTAATCAGCATCTATTTAAGCTATGGAAGTAGTATTTTTAATACATGAACATGTATATGAATGTTTAGCATTCAGTTTTATGAATTGAGTGATTAATTAAACAAAGTCAATTTCTTTTATTACGGGGCCAAAAGTAGAGACTAGTGAAGCTTATAAATTAAATGGATAACCAAACCAAGGGATATAAGTGTACAGTATCTGATGGGTTAATAAAATCAATTTATGGGTACATACTGTACCATTGTATTTTTGACTGTGTACATGGTGTGTGTCAGTTTCTGTTCATTGCTGGGGGATTGTTGTGTGTTTCACTGTGGGGTTGCTGACTGAGAAGACTGTTTTGATTAGCCTTACTAATCTCTTGTGCGACAGACAAAGATTCCTCATGGGCTCAACACACTCTGGGGGGGCTGCTGCTGCTGTGTCATGATTCAAACAGATATCCAAATGACAGTCAAACATGAGGATCCAGTTGTCTACTTATCTCTAAAAATGTCCTCATCTCCTCACCAGCACAGCCACAAGCCAGGTCCACTAGTTCATGTCTCACACAGTAGGCTCACATTCCACCAGCCACTGACAACCATGATTACCTACACAAAGCCAAACTGTCCACTTCCTGCTCTGTTCACCTTACTATCTGACTCGCAGGCTACCAGAACTATGCCAGTGGCAGTGAGAAAACTTTATTCTCTACACAAGATACAAACCGCAAAGGCATATTTCCACTTGCTTTTCAAAAATGAATGGAATTTAGCTGCAGTCATCTCAGACTTACTGAGGATGGGTATGATTCACAAAGAGAAGTCTATCATCTGTTGCTGTCCAGTAACATAAATATGAATACAACATAACTATTACATTTCTTGCTAAAAAGAATTAGATATGAGTGACTAATGGTACAGAAGAAATCCTTCCATGACAAATTATTACTCATAAAAAGGAGCCACTTGGATAGACTCAGAGGATGACTAAACATGGGCTGATTGTTTGATTCCACAGTTGGCTACTTGTGTTGGACATTAAGTTTACTTGCACTGATATGCAAGTAAACAAAGAAACAGCTCACATAATCTTGTGAATTTTGTCTAGATAAATTTTATTAACTTTCTATGTTGCACAGTGAACAGGAAGAAATGGGACAGGTGGGTTGCAACATCATTTTTCCACATTACTGTAAAAATGTTCCTCAACAAGCACTAAGTAAGCAAAAAGGAATGAAAGAATGCATGCTCTGCAAGTGACCTTGCTACATGATGGTTAAAAAAATACTATCACATGATACCCTCAATAAAAATAGTAAAAAATACCACTGATCCCCCTGATGAATGTCAATTAGAGTTCATCAAAATGGGGAACCTGCAGCATTTTATCAGAGGTGAGAGACCACCAGTGTGCTGCACGTTGCAGGAGGTAATCCAGACTCACTCTATACGTCCAGCAGAGACCACAGAGCCTGATAACTGCCAAACTCAATCATGCTATTATCAGCCCTATTTAAACAACCTGTCCTGAATCAAAAGTGGGAGAGACTGTTAGGAAGAGTAATGCATTCCTCCACTGCTTGTTTCCAAATATACGGTATGCACAATGTTTCACAAATGCTGCTTTTGTTGTGAGGATCACTTTGGCAGATCTGCTATGTCTACATAGCTATACTTCATGTAGTTTCTGCTGTGCTACTGTAGTTGTCACTGGAAGTGTAAGTATTTGATTGTTTCTGATCACGTTTTTCAAGGTGCTGAGGGACACTTTTGTGCTTGTGCACATGTATAAGACTGTCAAGGTTGTCATCCAGATGTGACAGTGCTGGATACCAGTGATGGATGTGTATGTGAACATATGTCTATGCAATTACTGCATGCTTATGTGTGTGGCAAACTGGTTTTAAAATAATAAGTAAGTGAGCAGAACGGAAAAGATCATGAGCCAATCAAACCTTTCAGGAATCACTTTTTCAAGTTAGCAACGGATGCTGAGGATTCATAATTACTTTTATTGTCCCTTTCAAAAACACCAAAGTGGCCAAAGATAATGGCCAAAGTTACTTTGAGTTCACGCACTTGTTCATTAGCGGAGCCTGAATGTCTGCTACTCTTCACATCCCACCAGCTGTAATACCACTGTTCGAGACACTGGAAACTAAGCTTCCTTAGGTGACACGTCAGCGAGCCTCATACAGTGGTTATGCAACAGCAGCATCTGTGGGCCAAAGCACCAGCAACACAACCCACTAAATAGAACCAAGAAGACCTTCATCACACCATGGACACCACACTTAAAAGCGAGCGGTCAGTGACTAAAGGCTCCAGTGCACAAGGCCTTAATTCAAATATGTGATGGACAACTGGTGCTAACATGCAAGAGCTGCATCCAATAAGCATCCAACAAGTTTGGGAGAGAAGTGGCTCCTCACAAACATGCCTTTCATGTGGTCGACACTTAAAGTGCTATAATGCTCGGCGAGACACTGGGGCCTAGCACGGGGAAGTGGAACAATACATTTAACCACATTAAGGAAAGCACCCAGGATTACTTCTGCACATATTTTCTCTCTCCCTCTTTCCTCTTTCATTGAATCAGTCTCTCACTTTGTCTTTGTTTCTCTGCAATTTTACTCTCTCTCCCTCCAGTACACACACACATACAGTACATGTTTGCCCTTGCAAATGAGCACTGCTATAAACAAGGAATATCTTCTAAATCCTCTTTATACACACGGACAGACACACACAGTAGATGATATATTACAAAATAAGGCTTATCACTCATGTAGAATTGCACCATTGTGCATTCCAACAAAAACACATTATTATAAGACTGTACAATATAATTATAAGTGCTTTTACAATTACTTGAATTATTGCAGGAGATAAACATTTTGTCTTTGTGTGAATTGGGGTGTGTTTGATATGCACACATTTGTTTTTGCACAAGTGTACAAGAAATGCACACAATCCAGCCTGAAACCAGTGATAGTTGGACACTTCCTTTCATTCTATAAAGAAAAATGTGCATACTGACGTGTCATCCCTTTATCCATCAGCGAGAACAAGATTCTGTCCTTCCACTACCACCCTGCCTGCATCTCAGCATACAACCTTAACAAAAACACTTCAACTGGCCCAGCAACGTGTCATGTGTCTGGTTCACAGCACCCTCATCCTCCCGTGGCCAGTGCTCAGCTCAGCTCTCCCACAGACGTGCAGCAGCCTTGGGTCACCACCAGACTAAAGGATGGGAATGGCTTCTACTGAAACATGTGTTGTTGTTACACACCACTGAAGATGATATCTGCTGCTCCTACTTGGACTAGTGCAAGACTGTTTTTGCATGCTGGCGGTTGCTGAACAGGTAGTTACGATGAACTGCTTGTCAACTGTAATCACTCATGCATATGTCTATGTGAACACACTAGCGTAGATTTATACACTCTGTTGCTGTACATTCAGACCACCATAACTCACTGTGGAAAGTAATGATCTGCTTGGGATAAGCATAGCTGTGGATAAGTGAATTAAATGGTACTTTGTTTAACCACAAGACTGTAAAATTTGATGCCAAATATTTGGTGGGACAGAAACTGGCCCTTGTCTGTCTCACGCAGCCACTGAGAGGACAGCTCTCCAAAGACACAGACACCAACAGCCCCTGTGAAGATGATGACAGCTACATGATGCCACCACACTGCAAAGACCAGAAAGGCCATGTCAGATGTACTTATGTCAGAGGGTTCAGACATTCCTTGTGGAAGATGTGCTCTTTGTCCATTGTCAGTGTGCACATGTGAGTTTGATTTATAAAAAAAAAAAAAGAAAGGGAAAGAAATGACACATTTACTGTACTTACTGCAGAGATCAGAAAAATGAGGAAAAAGCAACCAACTCTGTAAATGCAGTTTCCAGTAACAGAGGTTGTCTGGTGGTACAGGTTGCATGTTGCTACTGTCAAATATTCGCTTCAGGTTGGTTCAGGCATACTTCACAACACACAAAGTAAGTAAAATCCTTGTACTCACCTACATACAATCCATCCTCTATCCGCTTGATGACGTCAAAGGCGTTTTCCACGTTGCCCTCCAGGATGTCAAACTTGACGTCATAACTGTCCAAGTGATAGGATCCATAAGCCTTCACCATGGTTCTCAGGAAAACAAACTCTGTTGGAACATAACAATTAGACACACAAAATCTTTGGAGCTTGAACCATCATAATCACACTTAGATTGTGCATGTACCAGCTTTAGCTTTTTTTTTGTTTAGTGATTTTTTTTTCTTTCCAAAAGAAAAGGAGATGGAAAAGTCTGTGTTTATTGTGCACTGACAGGGTCATAGGAAGGTCGGGGCTTTGGAGTGCTGTTGTTTGGCTGAATGGCCTTAAGTCCTTTACACCCCAACTCAGAGCTTATGAAAAATGACAAGAGCTTAAATCCCCATGACGTTGAGCATGAGTGTGTCTGAAACATGCACTGCATGCTGGCCAATAGATGCTTGTCAGCTGCCACTGTCTGCGAATGATTACTGTGGTTACTCATATCCAACCAGCATGGCACTTAGTCTCTGGTGTGGGCCAGCCAAGCTTGGACTGTGTGGGGAACACCCTGGTATAACTAATTTTTGGGTCAGAGGTAGTCATATGGATTCTGACAACTGTTGGGAAATGCATTTGATAGGAGCTCGAAGGTTAAAAGATATATAAAGTACAGTTAAAGAAAAAAAAAGCTCAAGACCACACTGACACAAAAATAAACCACAATTTATCATATTGTCTTCAGAGTCACTGTTTCCAAAGATTTCAATAAAGTGTTCTGTGATAAAATTATGCCACAACAGTATGGATTGGTGAATATGTAGAGGGATGCACAGCTTTGTCTTAAAGCAAAAGTTCAACATTTTTGATAATATGCTTATTTGCCTTCTTGCTATTTGGGAGATGTGAAGATTGATACTACTCTCATGTCTGCACGGTAGATATTCAACATCTTTAGCAGAAAAGGGGGGGGATGACTATCCTGGCTCTCTCCAAAAGTAACAAATGCTGCATACCTACCTAAACTTTGCAAATTCACACATGTGAATGATTGCTTTTACACTTTAGTTTTTGTACAGATTAACTTCTTAAGTAGTGAGCTTTAGAGGTGCTGATAGGTGGGGTCTTTTGTTAGTGCTGTACAGGACCAGACTAGCTGTTTCAACCCGTTTCCAATTAGCTGCTGACTCAAATTTCATAATTTCATTCATGAGAGAGGTATCGATCTTCTCATCCAACTCTTGGCAAAAACAAGGATTAAGTGTGTTTAGCTAAATGTCCAACTATTCTTTTGAGACTTTATTCCCCAAGGAACTTTATTTTTATGAAATGTGAATATTTCTTGTCTCTCTTTTTTAGAAACTTTGGCTTAATTTTTGTATCACTGTTCAAAGGAATAAATTACTTAAACCTACCCTCTGGCCTTATGAACTCCCTGAAGGTGGGCAAGGAGATAAAGGTGTGGGACACTGAGTGTATGGGGTCCAGAACACAGGCAATATCATTGGGCTGACAGGTCTTCATACAGCGAATGTTGTCCGAGCTTTCAAGCCTTGGCCCTCTATAGAAGAGAATAAACATATAAACCCATTATAAAAAAAAACAAAAGACACAAGCACACATCATGTCTGACCTTAAGGTAATGTATATATAAAGCTTTAAGAGTCAACCATCTAAGGTTTCTAAAGCTCACAATAACAGGGCATTCTTGGGAGCAGCCCATCAAGAACTCAGTGGGATTCTTCCAATGTCCGCTACACAAACAATATCTGAACATGACAGCAGGGACACTAGATATAGCAGTCAACATCAAAAACAATCAAATTCTATGTGGTCTGGAAGAATAATAAAACATCAATGGCCAAAGCTTTCACCAAAGCCAAAGTCTGTAGCTTGTGAAGACTTGTGCTGCCATTGATGCTTTTCTGATGTGCTATTTCAAGCTGTGTGGGAAATGAATTGCTACACTCACAGAGTATGATCCACAACCTGCTCAGGAAAATATTTGGATTTGCAGAGCATCTGTGGCTTCACATCAGATAATCTCTTGAGAAGGATTTATGGGGAAAGGGAGTGTTCTAAAAGACTCCTAAATTATGAGCAACATGACTAGACAACTCCCCAGCCTCTCCCCAGGGCAGCGCTCATCCTATTATTTAGGGCTTTGTTTATTCCACAGACTAATCAGTGACAGGTCATAGTGAATGGCTCCTAAAGCTAATGCCACCTGAAGTATTATTCTTCACTGCCTGTCTGCTGCATAAGACTTCGAGAGAGGTTTCAACGGCATTGTCAACCTCATAAATCAGAAATTTGTCTTTGACACAGTGATGAACTTGTGATCATGAGAGAAGATTTGAAACCAAATAAAAGTCTTGACTTTGATATTCAAGTTGTTAAATTCAAGCTTAGTCTTCACAAAGGAGACAAGTCAGGACATGGCTATACTGAGTTATGAAAACAGCCAAGTTGCCATGTACAGTATAAGTCTGGTTAATGTGCACGGCCGCCATACTGTATAGCCACATCCTGAGTCACGGGCCGTGGGTCTCTGGCACTCCTCAGGCGATCTATAGGCTGCAGCTCAAAAACCCAGACCCGGCTTGAGTTGCAGGGCTCTTTTCATGGATAGCAAGGAGAGAAGCCCCTCACAAAAAGTCAAGCCACCACTGGGTAGGGGCTTGTAATTAACAATTAGCGGGTGGGTCCAAGTTTTGCTTTGGCCCAGGCCAAACCCACAAAATGTTCTCCTAGTTTATAATACTACTGCCTGAGCTGCAGAAAGACCCAAGTGGGGCTCTAGAGGATGAGGTGAAAGCACATTTGGGGTAGAAAGTAAATTTACGAGAAAGATAATGACCCAGAGTGAACTGCCCCATTACATACAGTCAGGCACTTCAAAGTGGGGGCAGCAAGTGGAGCTAGTTACAGCTCCATGTGTATTAATGCATGCGTACATCTGCAACAAAAATGCCTGTGTGTGTTTATTTTCATCTGTGCATGTGTGTCTTTGTGTGTGCAAACATGCTTGTGTACATGTGTATGTGTGCATGCACATATGCACATCTTTTTCATCTCCCCATGTCTCACGTGGCTTAGCCCAGGAGAAAAACCCCAATACTTTCAAACCAGAAAAGAAAAACAGACATTTTGGATGAAAGTCCTCTGGTCAAGCATAGGGCCTTTTATTTTTTTGGTAATTATTATTTATAGTCGGCACATTGATAACTCCCCAAAACAAACACTGCAGGGCATCATTCATTCTGCACGGGGTGATGTTGCTGTACCACAAATTGTTCAGACCACCGGCCAGAGCCCAGAGCCCCATAACTCAATGTCAAAGGGGAGGAAAAAACCTCCTGCACACCACTATGTTCTTATTTTAAGAATATTCCCAGTAGGGACCAAGTGCATCCTTACTGGCCTGACAGCTCAGGACAGGAGGAACCTAGGACATCTGAATTTACAGTTATTATAAGCCACCGCCCTCGGGCAGCAGGCTCACAGCATGTCATACTATTTATACTCTCTCCTGCTGGTGCACATTTCCCTCTCTATTGCCACTGCATCCCATCGTGTGTCACTTACTCAGCCTTCATTTGGATTATCTGTCTGCTTTGGGGTTTACACCCGCAGCATGCAGTGGAAATCTGTGCATTTTAAGCCCAAAATGTAATGTGAGCTAAAAAGATGTGCAACTGCCACAGAAAGCTGTATTAGCGGTGCAAGGTAACTGACATTTGGGAGGTGGTAATGAACATATCTGGAGGTCACTAAAATTAATGTTGAGTCGGTGTGTAACTTCGCTAAAACAATGTCGGACTCCGTAGTTTTCTCTGGACCCCTACCCAATGTGACCAGCGATGACATGTTTAGCCGCATGTCGTCATTCAACCGCTGGCTGTCTAGGTGGTGCCCAGAAAATAACGTGGGCTTCATAGACAACTGGAAAACATTTTGGGGAAAACCTGGTCTGATTAGCAGAGATGGCATCCATCCCACTTTGGGTGGTGCAGCTCTTTTATCTAGAAATCTGGACGAGTTTGTTTTACAACCTAAATTATGACAACCCAGAGTTGAGTCCAGGATGCAGGGTCGAGACTGTGTCTGCCCCCCGCCCACCTAAATTATATAAATCAAGAATCAACTCCAGAGGAGTTATTCATAAGAACCTAATTAAAATTAAGACGACTCCTCTTATAGTGGAAAGTAATGGGACAATCAAATGTGGACTATTAAATATCAGATCTCTCTCATCTAAATCTCTGTTAGTGAATGATTTGATAAGTGAACATCACATTGACTTATTGTGTCTTACTGAAACATGGTTACAGCAGGAAGAATATGTCAGTCTAAATGAATCCACTCCACCTGGTCACAGTAACTGTCACATCCCTCGAAACACAGGCCGAGGTGGTGGCGTGGCAGCGATCTTTGACTCAAGCCTATTAATCAACCCTAGACCTAAACATAGTTATAACTCATTTGAAAGTCTCACCCTGAGTCTCTCACACCCAAACTGGAAAACTCAAAAGCCTGTTCTGTTTGTTATTGTATACCGTCCACCTGCTCCTTATTCAGAGTTTTTAAGTGAATTCTCAGACTTTCTGTCTGATTTAGTGCTTAGTACAGATAAAATAACATTGTAGGCGACTTTAATATTCATGTAGATGCCGACAATGACAGCCTCAACAATGCATTCTGTTCATTATTAGACTCAGTTGGCTTCTCTCAAACTGTAAATAAACCCACTCACTGTTTTAATCACACTCTTGATCTTGTTCTGACATATGGCATCGAAACTGAACACTTAATAGTTTTTCCCCATAACCCTCTTCTGTCTGACCATTTTCTAATAACTTTTGAATTTCCATTAATGGATTATACTCTATGTGGGAAACAATTCCACTACAGCAGATGTCTATCTGGCAATGCTGTTACCAAGTTTAAGGAAATAATTCCATCTTTATCTACTTCAGTGCCGTTTGCCAACACAGTGGAAGGAGGCCACCTTAACTTTACTCCCACCCAAATCGATAATCTTGTTGATAGTACTGCAGCCTTCCTGCGTAATACATTTGATACCATTGCCCCTCTGAAAAAGAAGGCAGTGAAACAGAGGAGGCTAGCCCCATGGTACAGCTTGCAGCTCCGCTCCCTAAAGCAGGCATCACGAAAAATGGAAAGGAGGTGGCGCTCCACTAAGTCAGAAGAGTTTTTCATAGCCTGGAAAGATAGTTTAATAACATATAAGAAAGCCCTTCATAGTGCCAGAACCGCATTTTATTCATCACTGATTGAGGAAAATAAGAACAACCCCAGGTTTCTTTTCAGCACTGTAGCCAGGCTGACAAAGAGCCACAGTGCTGTTGAGCTTAACATTCCCTTAGATCTCAGCAGCAATGACTTCATGAGCTTCTTTACAAATAAAATCACAACTATTAGAGAAAAAATTGGTCGGACCACTCCCACAGCTCTCGCAGATGTGCCATCTACTACAATGGCTTTAGAAACATCTGTAAGACCTCATTTATACTTGGACTACTTCTCCCCTATAGATCTCTCTGAGTTGACCTCAACAATTGCTTCATCTAAATCATCAACATGTCTCCTGGACCCCATCCCGACCAGGCTGCTCAAAGACGTCTTTCCCCTAATCAACACATCCATACTAGATCTGATTAACCTCTCTCTATTAACAGGTTATGTTCCACAGGCTTTTAAACTTGCAGTAATTAAACCTCTACTCAAAAAGCCTACTCTTGACCCAGGTGTCCTAGCTAATTATAGACCAATATCCAATCTCCCATTTATTTCCAAAATCCTTGAAAAAGCTGTTGCAAAGCAGTTATGTGACCACTTGCACAAGAATGATTTGTTTGAGGATTTTCAGTCAGGATTTAGAGTCCATCATAGTACAGAAACCGCATTGGTGAAAGTCACCAATGATCTTCTGCTAGCCTCGGACAAAGGACTTGTCTCCATACTTGTCCTCTTAGATCTCAGTGCTGCTTTTGACACCATTGATCACAGCATCTTACTGCAGAGACTTGAACATGTTATTGGGATTAAAGAAAGTGCGCTAAGTTGGTTCAAATCTTATTTATCAGAAAGATTTCAATTTGTTCATGTTAATGACGAATGTTCCACACAAATTGAAGTTAGTCACGGCGTTCCACAGGGCTCTGTGTTAGGTCCAATTCTCTTCACTTTATACATGCTCCCTTTAGGCAATATTATCAGGAAGCACAACATAAATTTCCATTGCTATGCAGATGATACTCAGTTATATTTATCTATGAAGCCAAATGAATCAGGTCAGCTGGTCAAACTTCAAGCATGTTTTAAAGACATAAAGGCCTGGATGACCTGCACCTTCTTACTTCTAAACTCTGACAAAACTGAAGTTATTGTGCTTGGGCCTGAACACCTTAGAAATCTGCTGTCTAATCATATAGTTACTTTAGATGACATAGCTCTTGCCTCCAGTACTACTGTGAGGAACCTTGGAGTCATCTTTGATCAGAATATGTCCTTTAAATCACATATAAGCCAAGTCTCTAGATCTGCCTTCTTTCACCTGCGCAATATTGCAAAAATCAGGAGCATCCTGTCTCAAAGTGATGCTGAAAAACTGGTCCATGCATTTGTTACTTCCAGGCTGGACTACTGTAACTCTTTACTATCAGGATGTCCCAATAATTCCCTAAAACGCCTCCAGTTAATCCAAAATGCTGCAGCCAGAGTACTGACAGGAACTAGCAAGAGAGATCATATCTCTCCCATATTAGCTTCTCTCCACTGGCTCCCTGTGAAATTCAGAATAGAATTTAAAATCCTTTTCCTAACATACAAAGCCCTTAATTACAAGGCTCCATCGTATCTTAAAGACCTCATAGAGCTTCATCACAACAAAGCACTTTGCTCTCAGGTTTACTTGTGGTTCCTAGAGTCCACAGAAGCAGAATGGGAGGCAGAGCCTTTAGCTATCAAGCTTCTCTCCTATGGAACCAACTCCCAGTCTCAGTTCGGGAGGCGGACACCCTCTCTACCTTTAAGATTAGACTTAAGACGTTCCTTTTTGATAAAGCTTATAGTTAGGGCTGGATCAGGTGACCCTGAGCCTTCCCTTAGTTATGCTGCTATAGGCCTAGGCTGCTGGGGGGCCCCATGATGCCCTGAGTTTCTTTCCCCTCCCCTCCTGCTCTCCTCTCCTCTCCTCTCCTCTCTCTCCCTATGCTTCTATATGCCACCATTACACATTACTAACTTTGTGTCTCCTCTCTCCCGTAGTGTGTCCTCTCTCTCTCCCTGTACCTTTCTGCAGGTTGCCCTGGCCCTGGAGCTCTACATCTCTGATGAGCAGTCACCAGCCACATCGACCTGATCAGTGTTTGATTGTTGTGTCTTGTTGCTTTTCTTCTTTTGTCTCTCCTCTATCCACTCACCCCAACCGGTCGAGGCAGAAGGCCGCCCACCAAGAGCTGGGGTCTGTCGGAGGTTTCTTCTGTTAAAGGGAGTTTTTCCTCCCCACTGTCGCCAAGTGCTTGCTCAAGGGGGATTTGTTGGTTTTTCCCTATGTAATAATATTGATAACAGTAAGGTCTAGACCTTACTTTGTAAAGTGTCCTGAGGTGACTTTTGTTGTGATTTGGCGCTATACAAATAAAATTTGATTTGATTTGATTTGATATCTGATTTTTTTGTTGACTGGAAGTGGGACATGTGAAATTACTTTACAGTATGGACTATACACAATGAAACTTGAGGTATATGTAGATAGAAGTATATTACTTAAGGGTGTGATTATATTGTATTTAAAATACAGGCTTGGTTTATGTTTTTGCTCACAAACATTACAGATGAAGGACATCTTTAAAATAATCCGGAAACATTTAATAATGTCTAAAAATATTAATGCATTTAGTTGTTGCCTAGCTTTAGTGTCAACATTAAAAGACCTTGTAAATAGATTTTTGTAGTGAGGCAACCCATTTTTTTCTAGCAAATATCAGAATTTACCTTGAAATATGTGCATTACTAGAGATTTGCATCCTCTGAATTCCTCTTCACTGAAGCTGTTGTAAAAATAGTAATATGAAATGATGCAAGGAAGTCTTCATGCCTCCATCTGTGATGTGGCTTCACATTCCAGCTTCATATCCTCTTTGCTTTATTTGATTAAAACCCAGAATGCACTATTATCAAGAAATGGATTTGACTTGAACATGTGTTAATTCTATTTCAATAGTAATAGAAACACATAAACCATAAACTACTACAAAACATCAGATTACATTCTGTTATAGGCAGACCATAACCATTTTATGATTTACCCTGACCTAGAACGCCACCAAGTGGTGATCACGATGCCTTACCTTAAAGAAGATACATTCAATTGGACTCAGAATATACTGCTAAATAATGACCTGTAATTCTAGCTTTAAAAAGTTATGTTAAATGCTACAGTACTAAAAACTGGTTTGTTCTGATTTTGTGTGTTTAATTGATCCAGTCTTAAAAAATGATGGGTCATATTTAAAATTGGTCACCAGTGGCCCTAAACCCCCCCAAACTCACTGTGCCTATTGGTTTGTAGTAACTCAACAAATTGAAATGTATTAAAACTGATCTGTTATGTTATTAATATTATAATAATAACTAATCATATTTGATATTAATACAATTACATACCTCTCAATGCTGATGTTCTGCAATCATTTATGTTACCACACAGTCTGGACTATATCTCCGTTTTGTGTTGAAGAAGAGACAATGCATTTAAAGTGACACATCCTTTTTAAGACTGTAGTACCTTATGTAACTATACAGTACATAAATCTTGTGTTTATTCTAGTAGTGGGTTGTAAGGTACTCTGGGCTCCTCCTGGGTAACAAAGACCAGCACTTTTGCCAGGTATGTGGTGACTGTGCCATAGCGACGCAGCCTTAGCTCCAAAGACAAATCAAAGTCCTGTGGCTTCTGGATGAGCTTTGCTACCGACATCACCCCACCAGTAGGCGTCTGCTCTGTCTTGAAGAAACCATCCTCGTTGCCAGCAGTGATAGCAATTTGGATGTCATCGCCAGCCACAATGTTGGAGGGGCCCATGCGGAAGATGTTGGTGAAGACAGGGATGTTGGTAGGGAAGGTGAGGTGGTAGTAGGTTATTCTCAGGGGCATGGCCAGGCACTCGACAGACTCATTGCAAAGCAAGCGTTCACAGCGACTGTAAAAAGAAAAGGGTGGGGGGGTAGGAGCAGGGCAAGACAGAACAAAACAGGCACAGAGAGAAAGAAAAAGAGATCAGGTGTAAATTTCATTTGCCGTGCATGACATGCAGTGGAAGGAACATCAGTCTCAGCAGCCTGGCGCCTGACAGGCCAGTCATGGTGCCCTCTGTGGGATCATGCAAGACGTTCTGTCACTCTACCGTGAAACAAGGGTGGGCATTCGCAACCTATGCTGAATTTGTGCCAAAACTGAAACAGAAAAACTATCCATATGTATTTCATCATCCTAAAACAACAAAACATGCTACAGCTGAAGTCATTCCAGCACTGAGCATACAGCATGCAGAGCTGTGATCCATACATATGAATAATGGCTGGTTTAATAAACCTTGCATTGTTTACTGTTGTATCTGTACTCAGCTATTGCTATGACAGCCATTCAACCATTTATGAGTGTGAGCTTTCTGTTGCTGTTTGTCTGTTAATTCCCATATGGCTATGAGCATAGATGACACATCCAAAATTCTGTCTGTTCAATAATGTTTATCCTGTTCAGCAAAGTGTGTGCAGGAGAGACAACTGAGATACTCACGTCCCTCCAATGCGCCGGTAGTTATTTGGACACTGTATGGAAAGGCATCTGAATCCTCCCTGTATATTAAAGCACCTCTGATCCACTGTGCACGTGTGTGTTCCCGTCAAGCATTCATCAATATCTGGGAGGGAAAACACAAAAAGTGGACAGATGAGTTTTCAAAACATTCACAAAACTGACTTGGTCTAAGTTGACCAAAGACTGCATTTGTCATGTGTAACACTACAGTGAGGACAGCTTACCCTGGCAGCTGCGCCCATTGGGTGCCAAGGTGTAGCCAGTGACAGGACAGGAACAGTGGAAACTGCCAGGGGTGTTATGACAGCGATAGGCGCAAATATGACCCCCAGTTGGCAGGGCACACTCATCTATATCTACAATGGTCACAGAGACAGATATAAAAAAAATAAACCAGAGTTATGATGGGGTGATTATACATCCAGCATCTGTATATCAACATATACAGTATACAGTAGAAGTAACTACTGAATACATGGGAATCTGCTGATCTTTGAATACAGAGCAGCAAGTTGGCAGCTTGAGTCGAGGTACAGTATTATTCCCCTAAGTACTTGCCTGAATAGTTCCAGTTTACCTTCACAAGTCACGCCATCTATGTCACTAAGCTGGTAGCCCCGGCGACAGTAACACTGGTACGAGCCGTACACATTGGCACACTCTTGACTGCATGGGTTGTCCTCACATTCATTCACATCTGTACAGAAAAAAGACTATCAGAGATCATTATGAACTTTATCCCACTAGTTTACTAATGAGTATGTCGCTGCAATAGTAGAACAGTTTACATCACAATATACTTCTACAATACAATATGTTGCTCTTCCTTGTGTAAGAGCTGACACTGTAAGGTGACCATACAGGATAGGTCTCCTGTCCATAGTTAGCTGGAATGAGCAGTCGGACAAGAAACATCAGCACTGAACTATTGATGACTGTTAAAATTCTGCCTGGCCTGATATTCAGTGTCAGTGCATTCAGTGTCTGATTTCTTCAGTCAGACATGTCTGTTTCCATACTGGCAGACTGTGAAAACACTAGTGACAATAATGGAAATAAATGGGATACACCAAAACAGTACTACCACTGGTAAAGTCTCATATGTTAGATTGCACAGTACAGCTTAAAGTGAAAACAACACATTATATAAAGGTTCTCCTGATTTACTGTAGATATGTCTTACCATCACAATTCCTGCCATCGCTGGCTAGTTTGAAGCCTGTGGTGCAGGCACACTTGTACGATCCCAATGTGTTCTCACATTTGTGAGCACACAGGCGGCCAGGGTAGTGCATGCATTCATTAATATCTTTAAAAAGAAAAAGTCAAAATAATATGAAGCTGAGATTATAACAAAATTGTCTTTGATACATTTTGACCAGAACTAGTAGATGTACAGTATCTATGTATGCTTTATTTACAAGCGGTGGATCCACTTGGCTTTAGCTACTTGTGTAAGAACACCAAGCGAGATCTTACCCTCACAATCTCGGCTCATGCTGTTGAAGATGTAGCCACCTTCACAATCACAGCGATAGGAGCCCATCTGGTTGACACAACTATGACCTTTACAGAACGTTTCAGGCCCTTTGCATTCATCAATATCTGTGGCGGATGGAGCAAACAAAAGAAAACACCATAACATGCACCATAGTAAGGTTAGTAAGATGCTTTGTACTGTATGTAGGAATGGCGGGTTTTTCAGCCGTACCTACACAGCGCGTGCCCTCTTCGTTCAGGTGGTATCCTCGACCACAGTTAACAACATTCCTCTGACAGATGTAGGAGCCAGCTGTGTTGATACAGAACTGCCCTCTCTGGCATGGGCTTGTCTGGCTAACACATTCATTGATGTCTGAAAACACAAGCATATAGTAACACATGTACATAGTTGTACATAGGCTCCATTGACTCCATTGCTCCATGTATGTACATGGAGCAATGGAGTCATTACAGTCTGGGGAGGTTTGAGCAACTAGAGAAAAGCTCGAACATTTTCTAAACTGTATAGGATCAATTTTCTTAAAAGCAGTTGCTCTTTGTTTGGATTTGTTTAGCATGTTTTGTTGCAGCTTCTATGAACTTTTAGTGTCTTCTGCACTGGAATTTTTGAACTAATAATAGGGATGATGATGAAAACAAAGGTTACGAGATCATCTCAAAAAATCATTACAATTTTTCAAAATGATTGTTTACAGTAGTTTTTTAAACTAATACAATACTATACATGTGCAGGACACATGTGCACAGCTATTTTCTGGTTCTTACCAATGCAGATGCCCAGAGCATCCTGGATATAGCCGGTTCCACACTTGACCTTGGGGAGACAGCGGAATGACCCCTGGGTGTTTTGGCACTCAAACTCTGGACCACAGTTATGGATGCCAGTCTCACATTCATCAATATCTGGATGAAGAAATCACAGCAGAATTGTCATTGTGACATCTGCAAAGCTGGATTAGAGGCATAGCATCTAGGTTCATGGTGTCTCTCCATAAGAGGGAGCAAAGTAACTGACCCTTGCAATTGTTGTTATCGGTGAGCTCATAGCCAGTCCCACAGCTGACCTCTCTCTGACAGCGGAATGAGCCCTCTGTGTTGATACAACGCTCTCCTGTCCGACAGTTGCTGGCTCCCAACAAACACTCGTTGATATCTGGGAAAGCAGCATCACATGGTCATTCTTCTCAACAGGGCCAGAATTAGTATGTAAGTAAGTAAGTAAGTACAGTAAGTACATTTTATTTATATAGCACCTTTCACAGACAAGGTCACAAAGTGCTTTACAAAGTCAAAAGATAAAAAGAGATAAATAATATACATAAGCCTAAAAGTACTCACATAGCACAACACAATTTATAAAATGAATAAACCCAATCAATTAAAAAACTGTCTAAATAAATGTGACTTCAGCTGTTTTTTAAAATCATCAATAGATTCAGTCATACGTAGAGTCAAGGGTAGGGCATTCCACAGTCTTGGAGCTACGACCTGAAAAGACAGGTCCCCCCGAGATTTAAAACGAGTTTTGGGGACCACCAAAAGAGTTTGGTTTACAGAACGAAGAGTACGTTTGGGGGAGTATGGGGTCAGCAGATCGATAATGTACTGAGGCACCTGCCCATGTAGTGCTCTAAATGTCAGCACTAAGATTTTAAAATCGATTCTAGCTTTGACTGGTAACCAATGGAGCGAGTACAAGACTGGAGTGATATGAGCTATTTCTAGAGGTTCCTGTCAGGAGCCTCGCAGCTGCATTCTGGACAATCTGAAGACGATTTAAAATGGACTTATTACAACAGGTAAAAAGAGAATTACAATAATCAATGCGTGAAGAAACAAAAGCATGAATAATCATCTCAAGATCTCCCTTAGATAAAATCTTCCTTAATTTAGATATATTTCTCAAATGAAAGAAGCAATTCCTGACTAACTGTCTTATATGACAGTCAAAATACATTGCCTGGTCCAACACAACACCAAGGCTTCGAAGGCTCAACTGGACAGAAGAGCCCAACAAACCAAGGTGTTGTTTAATTCCGTTTAATTAAGTCTATAAGCATTTCTTTTATCTGTTCTCTAACACATTTCTTTATCTTACAAACGGATGTATGTAGATTTTTTTTTTAAACTTTAACCTTCAGATAGAGAAGATGGAGAAACGTAAAGAGGGAACTTACCCTCACAGCTCTTTCCATCTGGTTTGAGTTTGTAGCCTTTTAAGCAGGCACAAGTGTCAACACCAACACAGCGATGAGCACATTTCCCTGAAAAAGAATCACAAGTGTGTTCAAAATGACTACTGCATCTTCAGGGTTAAATCAGTTATGAGTAGAAAAGCTTATTTGTGGCTTATTATATTATACCTTTGCACTGATCACTTAAGACTAAATTCTCTCCATTTTCGCTGGTTTCATCCTTGTTTGATACTGTGAGAGAGAGAGAAGGATAAAGGTATCCATACACTCACATACTAACACCTTATACATCAAATATTAAAGTGTTCTGCCTTCCAAAAATGTATGTTTTTTTAGTCGCAAACACTCAATAACATGTTCACTTATTTTTGATCAATTAATACATTTCTTACCAACAAATATTATTTTACTATTTGCACATCATTTTTTCAAGTCAAAGAAACAACTAATATATTGTTCATTTCTGCAGCAGCAGGTTCTAAATCAGTTGGAAACAATATATTTGAAAGCAGAAACATGGTGAGTCATGTCAGGACAACCTGTTTAAAATCACTGCCTGAATGTTTCTGCATTTCTGAAGTGGCCACACCAAATTTGTATTAGTTCTGCAGCTACTGTTCTGTAGTTGAACCGTGACCTGCTAGTTAGTATTTAGGCACAAGCTAAATGAATGATTTGTTTTTTGAATATAGTCCCTCCTGACCTCCAGTGAAAGCTAAATGACAAATATCCACCAGGGGTCAGTGTGGGCTTATGTTTGACAGCACCAGTGATGCATATTATTATTGTTCCTTATTTTAATCCTTCAAAATTTTGAGAAATTGTATGTGATTTTGGACAGATTTTCTCATACAGTATTCTGTTTTTCTATCAGTGTTCTAAAGTTAAGCACCTGCTGCAATACAGACAAACTTGAGCCTACAGCATGACTGTTTATTTTTCACCCACATTCTGTTTGTCCTGTGGACGCAGTCTGGTGGGCCGAGCTTCCATCCTTACAGCAATCCCGGGACACCAGGCCACACTGGTAACCCACAGACAGGGTGTGATTACACGGTTGGCCCTTCGCCTGGACTGCCTTCCCCAGCAAACAACAGTCACAGCACAACTACAGAAATCAGAACACGACACAATACAGTATATTAGACAGCATAACAAGTACATCTTAAAACAAAAAAAATAACCCAGTTGGACAGGACTTAATGTACCAGGAGAAGAGAGAAGACAAAAAATGTAGACAAGGAAAAGTAGACTGGTAAAATGCTGCAGGAGATGGGTTTCTAGAATGACAAAAGGTGATTCACTCAAACATACAAGCTCTCAGTCAACCTGGCAGATTAAAATGAGTGCTGATTGAGAAGACAGGCCAACTGACAGGCACACAGGACTATAGAGGCAGTAAGTCAATCTGAAAGACAGAGGGGGAAAAAACCCAATGACGAGATGAAATCATCATCCCCTGTGGCCTATGCATGCTCAGTCAATCATTATGACAGCCCAGTAATGTCAGTCAGGGGATGAAAGGTGAAGGTTGCGGGGGCTGGGTGTGTTTGTGTTTCAGTTTGGGCAATTAGGTTTTATACCTGAAATATGACACTGTGGTGGTGTGTGTTTAGTAATGTAGTGACTGTAACACTGAATGCATGCCACAAGTCTTGCAAAGACAGCAACATTAGTAGTTGTGTAGCAGTCACTGATTACTGCTGCTTTGAGTTTATGTCTGGGTACATGTTGGAGTGGCCTTGGCACTGTCCCACCAAACTTGACAGGAAATGTTATGAAAAAAAACTTTTCAGGAGAGTTTAAATGGTAAACAATAGAAGCTGGATAAAATCTAGGGCTTGTCATGTTCAGCACACAAATAATGTTGCCCACAAACAAATGTTCTGTCCATTTAGTTGTTCTTGTGGTGTTTTGTTTGCTCTCTATTGCTGCTGGAACACTGGAATTTTCCCATTGTGGGATCAATAAAATCTTACCTTACCTCTAATACAATTTTATTTACTTTTTGCCAAAGCCCAAGATGAATAAGCCATGTACTTTGAAATATAAATGTTATGATGAAAGGCCCATATTTAATGATTTAGTGAGGCTCCATTCCTTTATTTTTTTATATTTTTGTCTGCCTCCATTCTTGTTCACAGATTAGCATGAATTATACTGATCTTGCCCAAATCTGTGGAAAGATGCTCTGCCATTCTTCACAGATTATTCTTTTCGGATGTTCATTGCTGGAAGACCTAATACTCAACCTTTGTTTTATTGGATTCAATTCAGGGATGTAGTTGGCCAAATAATAACTTAACTTTTTCCTCATTTAAAACTTGTGATTTTCATCTGCTCATTGTCATATTGGGAAAACCCCTCTCCTGCCAACCTTCTTGACTGAGAGTCATCTTTTTCTTCAGTATTTGTCTACGCAAACATTCATTCATCGTTCCATCTACAGTATAAATGTCATCTGTCCTACACATTTTACACTCATGCAGCCCCATGT